ATATAATTTTCCCCATGAAAAGTCAATGTTTATTACATTAGCTTCATTGCCGCTTGCAGGAAGTTTATCCCAGGTAACTGTTGCATAAAACAGTTTGTTTTGCAGATGCTGCTCGCTCCCTGTTTGAATTTTCCGGACATTCAAATGCTCTTTGAATGGTAGGATGGCATAAAATGCAGTTTAAGAGTTTAAAAGTTTAAAACCCAAATATTTGAAGTTAAAATACAAGGAAAACATGTATCTGCATGTATGTACTTCTCTGAATCAACTAGGACTGCATCGCATTCTAACTGCTGCTTGTACAAAAAAAAAAAAGAGAAATGTGAGAATAACCAGTGTGAAAAAATGTAAAAAAGGAATGCAGTTTTAAAAAACGCTCGGGATCTTCCTACGTGGAGTCTCCATGTTCTCCCCGTGCAGCGTGGGTTCTCTCCGGGTTCTCCGACTTCCTCCCACAGTCCAGAAACATGCTGAGGTTAACTGGTGATTCTAAATTGTCCGTAGGTGTGAATGTGAGTGTGCTTGGTTGTCTGTCTCTAAGTGTAGCCCTGTGATAGACTGGTGACCTGTCCAGGTGAACCTGCCTTCACCCTGAGTCAGCTGGGATAGACTCCACTCTGACCCTAGTGAGGATTAAGCGGTGTATAGATGATGGATGGATGGAATTTCTAAATATACAGTCAGCATATTCATCACCCACAGCAGAAAATTATTAACCAAATATAGTGATCGTCACCTCCCTGATTTTTCCGTCCTGCACAAGCACAAATTCAGGATGATTACATGTGGTCATTTTTTCTCAGTTGTCAGACGGTTTCTCAGGTTTGTTTGCAGTCCTGCTGTGCATGTATGGAAATAGTCCTTCAAGCAGACTACAACAGTAGTATAACAGCAATAACACGCACAGCATTATCAAGCCTCAGAGGTGCTCAGAAACTCCTGAAACTTTAACTTTTCTTAAAACTAAATCTATGCAATAGCTGTAATTTGCGGTATAACAGCTATCAGTGTGTCATAAAGAACATGCAGACGGAGCATTACTGAACCAGGACAAGTAAACCTCTTCTCCAATGGAACTTTACAGAGGAGTTTGGTTGACGTCATAGCGGAGGAACCGATGGGGTCTGTGTGTGAGGGTAACGCTACGTTTCATCGCCTGCTGCACTGGATGGAGTGGAGAAGCAATGCGATGAAGGACGCCGTGAAGCTTCTCGTCGCTGAAAGTCGACCAACGTACATCATAAGGAGGTATGTGTAGTGCTGCCACTGTTAAGACGACCTTCTGGGTTTTGTGTGCACACATCATGGAGTAATTCTGCTGGCATATGTCAGGAGTGAGGGATAGACATTGCATTGCCATTGTTTGTACACTCCAGTTGTGTGTTCCGCCTCCTATACAACTTCTGCAAACACAGAGGATGCACTTGTGCGTCGTCACTCATACGTCCCCCAGGCAAGAATCCTCTTTCCTCCAAATGCATTTTTGGAATTGAGTTCATCCTTTAAGATGGCATGCTTAGGTTGATTTCCGGGTCACAGGCAGGACGATAGATGACAGAGAAGCATGTGCACATTAGTGCATGTGAGTCCCTTCCATTAAAACTATTGGCCACTCACACAGCATTGTATAAAAAGTGCAGTCTGTAGTGCTCAGCCAGTTCCCTATCAGCCAAAGAATAAAAAAAGCAAAGTCCTTTATTAAGGAAATTACCTAATTTATGTGGAACTCATTTAATTTGAGCTCAGTATGAGAGTCTGCTCTGCTGTTCTGTAGCTCTGCTCTTGTGTGCTCTCTGGACTGTTTGTGTTCCCTCTGCTGACTGAAACACAAACATGGACCAAAGAAGAGACCGATCAGGGGAAGACGATGTGATTTTATGTAGCTGATAAGTCATTGCGGCCGTCCAGTGGTTTTACAGTGCTAACATGGGCTAATGCTTGTGGCTGGATTTCCTGTACACAGCCTCTCTGGTAGTAAATGAACGTGAAGGCAGGGTGGAGGTTCAACACATTTGTTTTGTTATGAGACACTGATGCTTAACCCTTTCAACATTAAGTAACTTTGCTTAAAATTCATGATCAGATATGGTTTTGATTAATCACTCATAGATTCTTTAGTGGACTTCACATCATTACATATCTGGCATCAATCAACAGTAGACAAGTTGAAGGTTAAATATATATGGGGGTTTACTGTTGTCATGTACATACAGGTGAAATACAGGTGTGAAACGGTAAAGGTGAAGTTCATAATTACCAGGGATACATGCCAGGGTCCTCGCCAGGATGTGAGGCGGTGAATACGCTCGCGAATAGCAGCGTTAGCAGCAAAGACGACGGCAGTGAAACTACATCGCTTGTTGTTCAATATTTTCCCGTTACGTATCCTCGAAAACAACGTAACGGCCCAATTTGCAGCATAATTTTTTTAAGGTAGCAGTGTAACGGGTCGCTACTCTGTTATGACGTTGGCAAGAACCTTTTATGCAATTAATGATCAGTTCTTCTATACGGAGACATCTGCCAAAGTCTTATAGTTAGTTAGTTTTGATCCCTTATAAACATTGTGGAAACAAGGAAGCGAAAATCCCATTTTCTGGTGATTTTTGGGGTCCAAGCGACATCATTTTACTTCATTTGCATAATTTATTTCATGACTTGTTCACATACGGGGATTCCCACCGATAGCCAATCAGAATGAATGTCACAGAAAGTCACCATATACCGGAGCTGCTATACCAGGCTGCAGGATTGAACAGGAGCATTAATGCCAGCCTGGTATAGTGGGCTATAGTGTTGAATGGGATAAACAACGTCCAGTGTTTCTAAAAAGTCGTATATAGCACCTTTAAAAATGAGCTGGAATGTGTTCATTGGTCTGTTTCCCTACAAGACAAGAGGATGTCGGATGAGGACAGGTGTGACCATCTCAGATATTGGGTTTGGCTGGGATTGTTATGGTTGCATCCAGGACGGGTGGAGAAATACCACACGGTGGATGTGCTGTAAGAACTGTAACACAAAATTAATGCAGCATAAAAAGCTCTTTGATGTTACACTTAGGTCTAAACTAAAGGCAATGAGCTACTTAGCCTGACATGCTGACAAGATTAGATTAAAGCAAACAAACACAATTTAATCAGTCCATTAACTCCACCTTTTGTATTTTTTAGAACACACCATCCCCCAAACTCTTCATTTTCAGAGCACTGCTTTAACTACAGATGCTCCAAACAGTGATTGACAGTTTATATTTTACTGTATACACACACATCCTCTGCATACTGTATACTCAAGTCTTTATTCAAACAAACACCATGCACACTCATTTAGATTTAAAAAATTTATTGAACATCATCCCTCCAAAAATATTAAAATGTCTTTTTGCTTTGGTATCAACTCATGTACATTAATAGTATACAAGATCTCAACAGCACATAGAGAACGGTCTGTGTTCTAAAAGTGGATTACAAAATAAAATAAAAACAATCCCACACCGTATGCAGTAGCGAAAAGTACCACACCACTTACAGCTTAGACATTCACTGACAACACAGCATCGACGCTTTCAGAAACTCCACTGTTATCTTTGCATTGCACGAAGGGAAAAAAATCAGTTATCAAAAAATTGAACAAGATGCTGACAAGCACATGGCAAATAATATATACACACACCAAACTTTTTCCATCTAACAGATACTTGCTGCCTCGGGTGAAGTCCTTTGTTTTGCTTTGGGAGATTCTGTGGAAGAGTTTTCCTTTGTTTGCCAGTACGTTCACACTCTCTGAGCTGACGCCAATTATTCAGACTGTAAAACGCTGTAGGTCGACTCTTGAGGAAGCAAATATTTTGAATATTGTGTAGATTAGGCCGATACGTGTCCACATGTTGCTGACGGCACGCCCATGACACTAACTACTAGGGCCTCCGTCCTTGTAACATACGTAGGACTGCCTGCATTTTTCCTTTAAGAGTACATGTGAATGTGTCTAACAATAATAATAAAGAAGAAGTTAATCATCAGAGGCATACGTTTCAGGATTCTTGCCCACACCATCGACCTTTATCTCTAAGTGCCGTCGACTTAACGTCACCAGATATTGCATTTCTCCACACTCGCACATGCACAGTCTTTATTAAAGGATCTATACAGCGACTCTCCGACATGCACTTTGACTCTAAAGTCACTATTCCTGGAAAAAAAAAAAAAAAACAAAACTTCAATGCCTCCAGCATGCTAGCAATGCTACATGTACAACAAGCCACCTATTTAAACCACTTAATTTAAAAAACCAGCTTCAAAGTGATGAGCGATGAATTGCTGAAAAGAAAATTACTTGCAGTGAATGAAAGCTAAAAAGGCTGAAACTTTAAAATCATTTCCAGTACAGTCTCATTACGCTGCCTACTCTTTTGTCATTTAAAAAAAAAACAACTAAAAATCTCATCTACTCTAAGAAAGACTTCAAAATGCTCGGGGTAATAACTCCTGTTATTCAACCTCACGCTGTAACCACTGTCAGTAACAAATCAATACAAAAATACATCTGATCCCTCCTCCTGCATTCTAAACACATCTCTGTTATGGAACTTTATGTGAATTAACATCCTACCAGACCTATAGGTATTGCACAAAGAATGATCCCTAAAATTCTTCTTTTATTACAAGAACAGTCCTTCCTCCAGAAATCGTGACAAGAACATCCTTTAAATCCCCTTTCTTCCCAAGACAGATGTATACTTCTTTTCTGCAGAGAGTCCCGGTTGCTGCAGGCTCGCTGCCTCTGATTTCTGCTCATATTGTCCAGAGGCAGTCCAAGGTTTCCCTTTGTTACCGCTCCATCATCTGCACCAGCCAGGGCAAGAGCTGATGCAAGAGCTGCGTTAAATCCACCTGGACTGGCAGGTTGCTGCTCTTTAAGCCTCAGTAACACCACCGCTCTCATTATTAATGACTTCCTGGCTGGGGGCTGTGGGATTTCATGCTTAGAGCCAATCATCAGCCATCAAAGTGGGCCACTAGTGATACTACCACAGGTTTGTTGTCCGAAGAAGCGGCTTTGGTGATATCAATGGTGGGTTCACAGGAGGGGCCCAGCTGGGGCACCGTGGCGGCAGGTTGACCCAACGAGGCCACCATAAATAGGAAATCATTGGAACGGCGAGGACCGGTGACTGCTGCGCCCCTCATGGCCTTGGTGGCGACCTTGGAGGAGCTCCTCAGGCTGGAGCCCCGTCGAGGAGTCTCGCAGCGCAGCAGGGCCTGGAAACATCTGTAAAACTGGGACAAGCATACGACACAAACACGCGATTAGAAATGCGCTGAAACAACAGCTGATGAAATTAGAGACTTCCTATGAAGAGTAATGTTGAGACTCAATCCACTTATGTCACGTAATTCAATATATACATCCATAACGGATAGCGCCTGATTTTGGCCAAACATGAAGTTGTTTGCCTTTTCGTTGCTGTTCCATCAGCGGGGAGTTAATTCCCTTCATAATCTCTCTCACTCGTCTCTTTCTCTCTCTGGTGAACCTTCAGGCTAATTAGTCTTAATTACGCCTGATCAGACCCCTGCATCTCACAGTGCTATCAGTCATACGGGTCACTGTGTGATTTCTCATGTGGAGCGGTGCGCCGAGGGCCACGTTATTTGTAAAGTTTCAAAATTAAATAATCAGCTGTTTTCAATCACAAGGGCGACCCGTCGCTGCGTTTCCAATTGGAAAAGTGATGCCGCTAATGTGTGCTTATAAAGACTGGCAAGTGGAGGATGAGAAAGAAAGACTCTTATTTTCTCCTGAGTAAACGGAACGCCCAAGATTTCCCTTTAATCATTTTCATAGTGCAATTTTATTTGTCAGTTGGCGAGAATAGAATATTAAATGTTGAGAAAGGTGGTCAAAGAAAACTGCTTCATTTTGTATGTCTGTGGTTGTTCTAAATGTCCTGCCTGTGCTCTGGGCAGGGTCACAGTTTACTTGGCGTTCATGATGTCACAACAGTGAGCAGACTAAGTGTGAAACAGAACGCTAAGGTTTGGAGAAGACCAAAGATCAGCGGCAGGCTTCACTCGCTATCAAACTCAAAGCAGAAAAAACTTCAAAAGGCGACCTTGGAAATCTCTCAACTGATGGTAGTTTATTTATTTTTTCAATTTGTGCATGATTTTTTTTTTTTTTTCTTGTCTTGCTGAGAGCAGTGCCCTCCTTTTCGGTCACAAACACACACACACACACAGTTTCACACCTGGTAGCTTCCTAATGCACCTACAGTGACTTGAGAACAGCCTGGGAGATTCTATATTAATCATTAGGTGAGGATTAGTTATAAATATAACCACAGTCTGCTCTGTTGGCCCCTGAGCCACACCAGTGGACCAGTTGGCAGGTTAAGGGCCTCGCTTTCGTGGCAGCCTTCCAATCACAAGCCAGCTTCTGTAACCGTTACGGCCACCACTGCCCCGGCACTGGGTTTACCGTCAAGACGGTGTGACACAGACAAGACAGCCAACCTTGCGCTACCGTGTCGACCAATATACACCACCTCCATTGAAGTCTTAACAGTATATATTTAGCTTAGCTGAGTGAAACACCCCTTACGCTGTGTTTTTATGGGATTTTTCTAGGTCAGCGGTTCTCAAACTGGGTGGTGGGCACCCAGGGGGACATCTAGGTATTGACGGCGTTGGAGATGCCCAGGGGACAAATATTTCATGGAATTAAGTTGAATGAAATAGATTCATGTTTGGAAAGCCAGCAAACTCGCTAGCACGCTGACCTGAATCATTACCTTTATTTATTGCCTGTGAATAAGTTCCCATGGGCTAGCTGTGAAGCTGCGGCGTTAGCAGCTGTCAGTGTCTCCATGGGTCTCCTGCTGCTGTGCTGTTTTGGAGATGAACAACAAGGACCTTTGATGTCCCTTTTTTTCTCCTGTATCACCGCAGAGGCTATAAAGAAGGAGCGGAAGAGGCTCCCACTCTAGACTTTAATTGTATTAATTTCATAAAACGGGAAACAAAGATAGGACTGGCATTTTAGCCAGTCAGAGTGGGCCTCTAGGGGGCTACTGCACTTTAAGTTTAGAAAAAGGCTGACTTAGGCCTGACAACAGCACTGAAGATCAACAAACAGAGGTTAATTATTACTGCTTGGTGCTGCAGAAAAACAGGGATTGTAGGTCTGGCCATACGTCTGCCGCTATCTGGGCCCTTCTTGTATCAGCAGTACAACCACCGGACGAATGGTGACTGCTCTGCACCATTAGGAAGGGGTGTGTTTATGCACATATCTCCGAGGTGCAAGGCTATTTAAAGGAGCAGCAATAAGTATACTCTGAATAGACATTTCGATCCATGTGGGATCTTCATCAGGTCAAAAGGTCATTGATTCTATGTAAGGTGCTTCAGGAGTGGACACGTTAGCCCAAAAAACAGGCTACTTTAACCATCACATGACAAACACAGGAATGAATGACTGATGGTTTGCTTTCGTCCACTACTAATGTTATAAAATCTGGTTCAAAGACTGACGAATATCGGGTTGGGATCACGTGCGCTCTGGTCAGCAGGCGAAACACTTCCTCCCCGACGTGCTCACTGGAGGGACGGCTTTTTTACCACCAGCTTCTATTTGGGTCGGTCATTTGGGACCGCTTGCGTCAGCAATTTATTCCTCTAATGTGGCCTTCTGTGAGAGAAATGTGCACAGCCGGAGCCATCCCATGATGAAAACCTTTCTTTTTTTTTGGGAGGCAAAGACGTCAGCGCTACGCCCTTTAATGTTCCAGCTGTTCTCAGTGTCGTGTTGTCAGTACGTCCCTGGTTCCTGCTCTGGCTTCAGCTTATGGAGAGGAGAGTGATGAAAACTGTTGTAAATGTTTCTGCAGCTTAATATCCTTTAGGATTACATCCAAATTGGACAGTTCATACTATACATTGCCAACTTTCAGCAGCAGTATAGCAGCTGGTGTGTCCTCCATGTAGCCAGGTGGGAGGTCAGGGAGTGAAGGCCGGGGCTGTTATTGGGGGTGTTCCTAATCCGATCGTTTTCATGGTTATTCTCGTAGATTAATCGTAGCAGCTGGACTTGCTTGAGTTCCTTGAAGACGTTCCACCTCTCATCCAAGAGGCTTCATCAGCTCTGACTGACTAGTTGGGAGTTCCAGATACTTGCATCCTTAATGAGCCAATTAACACCTGAGCTTCGGTTTCAATTGGGGGTTTGCTGCTCCTCCCCTCGTTATGCGAGTCGTTAGCGCTCCCCCTGCCACAGTGGGGTTCATTAGGTGTGGATGTGGTTTCATCTTCCAGGGGAGAGATCTTAGGACTGAATTATAAACAGGTGAGAGGTGATGCCTCAGACCTCCACCTCTGTTGAGGGATGGTCGTTCCAGTTGGACATAGACGGCTTCTTTCACCCCTCTCTGTCCTCGCTGGCTAACATCTGTACATTATTGTCTTTAAATGAGTGTCCTTTAAAAGTCTTTAAAGGAACTCAAGCAAGTCCAGCTGCTACGATTAACCTACAAGAATAACTTTAGCACACTACAACATGGTACACAAAGACGTGAGTAGTTATTGAGGAATGAGGCAAGAACAAGTTATTCAAGGTCGTGGCAAAGTTTACAAATTTCAATTCAATTTCATTTTTATAGTGTCAGTTCACAACATTAGTCATCTACTGTTTGTATAGTAAAAAAAAAAAAGACCTTACAGTATTACAGTAAAGAGAAAAAAGCAGTGAGTCCCTTTGAACAAGAAGAAACCTCTGGTCTGGCAGAACAAGGCTCAGGAATGGTGGCAGTCTGCCTCGACCAGTTGGGTTTACACCAGAGAAACTTTCATCTTGATGGTTCCCCAGCAGAGTGTTTTGGTGGCCTACTTCAACCACAGTTAATATGCTTTGCCAAACTGTGACTGTGCCATAGTTATTTCAGAAACGTTGGCCCTGGATGAGAAAAAGAACAACAACAAAGATGGCATTCGGCTTTATCCGATAAAAAGGTTGGTTACGGAGCTCCACCTGAGCTCACAGAGCTGGAGTTTTGATTCATCATGAGCGTGTAGCCTTGAGCTTTCTGGCATTTCAGCAAACTGTGATGCCACTGTGTTTGAAAAGACTCAATCAACTTAGCTTACTGACAAAGCTGGAAAGCAATCAATAAGTAGTCGTCTTTCTAATCAAGTTGAAAACATAGAGCTTATTAAAATCAGCAGTTAGATTTTGATCTGTAAACACCAGTGTCACTCGTCGGACCCAATCAATCAAGCGTCACTGGGTCTCAGCTTTAAAATCTGATTGAATTAAAGCTTTCTAACAATTGAGCTGATTGTGGCGTCTTCATCAGTCGTACCATTTATCAAGTGGAAATCTTTCCTGCTGGCTTTTCTATTATTCACATAACCAATAAATAAAATACAACAAAGGTTTTGAGTCAGAAATGCTGCTGTACAAACCTCAGGTCGCCGCCAAAGGTGCATTTCCATAAATATGCTCCCCCCCTTACTGATCACATTGTCTCCGTGATTCCACATGAACCTCCACAAATGCTGTATTCTAACCAGCAGCATCAGGAATCGGAACACATTGTAATATTTTGTGGAAAGAAAGGACAGGTTGTCTCCAAGGCACAGAGGAAAGGCACTGAAATGTAGACACCTTCTGTCAGGGTGTAATAAATAGTGAATGGACCCCTGGATACATTTTTCAATCCAAGGAACAGATCTGGGAATCTCAAGTTGATGATTTCATGTAGATTTTCCTGTTTTACACCAGCCTCTACACAAAGCACAGCCCCCGCGTTACCCAGCTCAAATCGAGGTATCTCGTCCGGCTGATGGACAGATCGGAAGATTCTGAATAATTGAGGACCCCGGCAGCAGGTTGAAAGCATAACAATGCATTCGGGGTATTTGGCCGTACTTAAGATTCCAGGCATTTTCATCCACATCCGTGACGCGTTCTCGGTCTCGGAGGCTGACACTAAAGCACAATTTAGACCATTTCCGAGTCCTCTTCCTGAGTTCCTGTTAATGTGGACTCTGGAGATGCCACTCTTGAGTAAACGTAGTATACTTAGTATACTTTCTGGGTTTCACGTATACTTATAGTCTACTACATTTTCTCACGAGTACAAAAGACAGTGAAACTCCTCCAAAGCACGTGGTTAGATTAGAGATCCAACAAAAGTCAAACGTTAAAAGCATTTCAGCCGTGAACATATGACATGCAGTAAAGAGAGACAAAAAGGGTTGATACTGTAGATGCTAATTCA